TGAGTATAATTGTCACTCAGGCAGTTGTCATCTGAATACAAGTCCTCATTCTGACTTTGGGATGTTGATGCACCCCTAACATTGCATTTTTGTAGATGTAAACATTTTCATTGGAGGAACAGGATTCTCCAGGTGATGTTTGAATTTTTCCACAATAACTGCGTGTCATTCTGGGTAACCAAGTAGTGCAATTAAGTCCAGAGGCAAAGTGGAATGCATCTCTCACTATACTTTGGAAAATCCTTTCACTTAGCTCTTCTGACACCTCTGAGAGAAGATCCACATTTAATTCTACTGTTTTTAAAGTTTAAAAGGCTCAAATTTTCCATGGATTTTCAGCGCACAGCTGTTTCTTCCCCTTCATCTCAGTCGTTTCAGTTGACCTCGTTCAGGGTGCAAGTCCAGAAAAACTCTAAACAAAGGGAAAGGATACTCAAGTTTAACAAAGACAGCTCATTTTACAAAACACTTCCAAATTACATTTCAGCAGCACATCACCTTTCTCATTTGCGTCTCACCAGTTGCAAATAGCTCTTTGACAAACAACATTGTTGAGTAATTTGGATTAATTCTGACAGCTATAAAACAAATGTACACTTGGAGTGCACCAACTGCAGTTTTCTGGCCAATCTTTAAAAAGTCTGATCTGTCAATTCTGATTTTTTTGTCTGAATGTTGCTAAATGGAGCAAAAAAAAAAAAAAGTCGCTGAATTGGCAACAGTGAGGTGACCTTTGTTAACTGCAAACCTGGAGACATGACCTGGTGGGCCAGTCTATCAGTCAAAACTCTCACAGGAGAGCAGAAGAGGACAGTGGTTGATTTCTAGATCTTTGCTGAGGTAGATAAGTTCAGTGGATAAAATCAGCTTCACATGTATCGGCGGATCACCAATCTTTGAAATTAAGAAAGTCGGGGAAGATTAATTGGTGCACCCCTAACATACATAAGTACACAAATATTTTCTTGTGAAAATAAAAACACTCTGAGTTTTACATATTTGTTAAAATAAACTCACCATGGCGTGACTTTATGTTTGAGACAGATAATCTGTGAAAATATCAATCTCCTCCACAGATTATCTCTCGTGCAATACTGTCATGACACATTGACAGTTTCAACAAATATGTAAAAAAAAAAATAAAAACTATTATTAAAGTTACATAGTTCAGCATTAAACAATATTGGAAAGACACAGATAAAAAAAACATGTGTATGTTATTCTAGAAAAAATCATACATTATAAATTTAAATTAAAGGTTTACCAGGTTGAGTAAAACAAAAACAAACGCACACACCTATTATAAAGATGTGTAGTTACTTGGCAGGTAAAGTTCAGGAGTGTCTGGATGCAACTGTTGAAGAGAGAAACATGTCATATAAAGAGAGAATATAAACACCAAAACATGCAGGTCTTCCAATAATTAAATGAAA